TTCCCAACCATGTCACGAAGATTGGAGAAAACCTTGTCGGGGTAGCGAGCGACGATCCCGGCGGCTTCTTCACCGAGCAAGCGAGCTTCCGATTGGAATGCGACTAAGGCCGGGGATTTCCGCTTCGACATCTCATTGATGGCTATGGATATCGGACTTTGGCCGGGTTTTAGATTCACGACGGCGACTTTTAGCCATTCTGAACCTAGATCTATGCTTGAAACAGCCGATTCCGACTTAATTAGGAATAACGATAGCAGGGATAAGCATATCCCTAATTGGAATAACATATTCTTGCTCGAAATAATTGCTTTTGAGAGAAGACTGAAGACAGGAGCCGAAGGTTCTTGACGCAGTGAATCAGGACTCGGTGGGTTTAGCGCAGATGGGTTAATTGGTTATATTTAAACCGTGAGCTGACGTAGGGAGTGGGTTTGACGTGGAGAGTAAATAAAGCCTCCTATCAGAAGTGGACACGTGGGATAATTAACACGTGGCGAGTTTTCAGATGCTCAGATGCGTTGTGCTTTGAAGGTCGTTACTCAGTCGTTTGCGGATTCTCTGTGCAGAGAATTTACCTTTTAATTTCATATTTTTTAATAAATAATATAATTAAACGTTTTCCTTTTCTTAATTTTTAGTAAAGGAGGATAAATGAAAATATAATATAATTAGTTAAAATTTATAAAAAGGAATTTATGAGAAGATATCTTTAAAAAACACAACACGTGTAAAATATAAGGAGAAACAACTTCACTTTTTTTATCGACAAAATATTATTTATAGACTTATTATACTAAGAATGTTTAAATATTTATTATAAAATTATTGAAATTATTTCAAACAAATATTACTTTATAACATTCCTATCTAATAAAAAAGTTACCTAAGATGGTTCACTTTTATTATTATACCAATATGATGAGTAAAAATTAAGGATTATATGTATTATATCAATAAAAATATATATAATTAATAAAATTTAAAAATGTAATTAATTATTTTTAATGATTTAATTTTAAAATTTATGGAATTAGATTGTTCAACTTTTTAAAAAGGACTAATTTGAATAATTTCAAAAATTAAGAGGTCCCCAAAGAGATCCTCTTACCTATAGATTTGGCGACGGTTGAATTTTCTATATTCTCCCTCAACACGTCAGTGACCCAGCGCGTAATACATAATTAATTTCCTATTTATTATTTCAGGTTTAGAAATATCGATTTTTGGGATTGATTTTATTGGAGAACAATAATGTCCGCATCTACCGTCTCGATCACCGCCGCCACCGCCGACCCGGCGGCGGCGGCGACTCCTCGTCGGCGCTCCCTCGTCGCCGAGAAGAGATTGAACGTTGAAGCGGCGGTCGTTGATCCTAACGCTAATGGAATTAACCTTATGGAAGACAAAACCGCTGTCGGTGCCGCCGCTGCCACTGCGGGTCTTAGTAGAGATCTGAACCACCATTCAGGTCGTGCCGAACCGTCAAAGGACTCAATGCAAGTGAGAAAGGTCGCCGTGGGCCAAAACTCGAACGGCCTGCAGCGGCGGTCGCGGAAAGGAGCGGTTAACAAGACTGAAAACCCTCGGTGGTTGACTGCGGTTAGTATTTTTGGTAAGAATTTAGCGCTTTTGCTTGTTTTGGTTGGCTTAGCGCAGATTTTTAGGAGATTGGCATTGAAATCAGAGGATGTTAGTGGCGTTGGGGCAGAAATGGGATTGACAACATTTGAGGGTAGGGTTGCTGAGGTTGAGAGTTTCTTGAAAACAACGGCTAATATGATTCAAGTTCAGGTAGACGTCGTTGATAAGAAAATTGAAAACGAAATTGGTGGTTTGAGGAGGGAATTGAATGAGAGAATTGAGGGCCAAACTGCGTCATTGGAGAAGTCATTGAAAAAATTGGAGGAAAAGAGTGAGGAATTGGGTAAATCCTTGAGTGAATTGAAGAGTGCGGATTTGTTGACAAAAGAAGAGTTTGAAAAGATGTATGAACAAATGTTAAAAGAGAAGGGTGAAAATGGTGAGTCTGAGAATCCAGTGAGTTTAAGTGATCTAGGAGCCTATGCGAGAGAAATTGTTAAGAACGAGATTGAGAAGCATGCCTCGGATGGGCTCGGCAGGTTTGATTATGCATTGTCTTCAGGTGGGGGAAAGGTTGTTCGGCATTCAGAGCCATTTCTTGGTGGGAAGGGAATTAACTGGTTTTTGAAAAGTAGTCAAAATGGGGTTCATAGGGATGCAGACAAGATATTGAAGCCAAGTTTTGGAGAGCCTGGGCAGTGCTTTCCATTGAAAGGAAGCAGTGGGTTTGTTCAGATTAAACTGCGCACGGCTATTATCCCAGAGGCTGTCACTTTGGAGCATGTTGCCAAGGTAACATTGTTATCGTGCATACTTTGTTATAAAGTTGTTTATAGTTTCTCTTATGCACTTGTCTTTTTCTTTGGTTTGTTTTATGATGATAAATCTAAATGTAATTCCGATTCTTTTAATACTGGTTCTGAAGCTATAACATAAGAACCATAAGATGTGAATATTCAAACTTGATCTCTTGCGGTTGTCCTTTTTGCCAAAATAATTTGTACCCGATATGAACTATCTAAGCTAAGCTTTGATTCTTTCAGCACTTGATCTCACAAAGGCATGCCTCTCATTCTTTTAGAAAACTTATTTCTGCTAACTAACGTCTAATTACTTTGCTAGACTTCTTATGGTTTAGATCTTTCTCAATTTGATGAAGGCGATAATTCTTATATAGTTGAATATATATGGATCTTTTAGATATTAAAGTTAAAAAAACATATGCAAAAATTGTCCTAGGATCTCATTTTTAATAAATAATGGCTCAGTTCTGTTAGAACACCATCCTACCTTATCTGTTCATCTATGATATGAATGCTCCAATTCTTTGTTCTAATTGCTTCAACTATCTTCCGGGAAAAAAATAATTGCTTCAACTCATATGCTCTTTAGTGCCTTTTATCTTGCCTCATTCTGGTGGCGCACCCGAAGAAACAGTTTATGCCATCAATTATCTTTTGCTTTTGTTTTCTGAATACTATAACATATTAACATCTAGCATCTAGCACTTTTATCTAATAAAAACATATATTTTACACTTGCACCGGAAGTAAAGATTTGACTCTCTTTTTTGTTGTTGTTGAAGTTATGCAATTTATCATTTATGAATGAACAAATTTCTTATAATTTTCATTTGAATGATGGCCAACAAGAATAAATCGAGGGCTGATTTAAGAGAGTGCCCTTTCTGATTTTTATTCTCAATTGACGTCGCCACAATTATGTTGTTCATGTACTGTGTACAGAGTGTGGCATACGACAGATCAAGTGCACCCAAGGATTGCCGAGTCTCTGGCTGGCTGCAAGGCAGTGATCCAGGTTCCGCTGTTGATTCCAACAAGATGTTCCTTTTGGCAGAATTCACGTATGACCTCGAAAAGAGTAATGCGCTGACCTTTGATGTATCGGATACAGCAGGTAACGGTATTGTTGACACAGTCAGGCTGGACTTTTCTTCCAACCATGGAAGCGCTTCACATACCTGCATTTACCGTTTGAGGGTGCATGGTCATGATCCCGATTCCGTTTCAATGGTGAAAACAGAGTCGTGATCTGTATCATATTTGCGATGTGCACTCTTGTCGGTAATCGCTGATTCTGTCTCTTGATTTAGTTAAAAAGTACTAGGGTCACTCTACTAACCTGTTTGAATTTATTCTGTGTAGCAAATGAGTGTGAATCCATTTTTTTGTGTTTCCACTTTATTGAGTGATTTGATTTGAATGAACCAGAAATAGATGAACTTTAGTTTCCCAGTAGGCAAAGTTCTATAGAATTTCGTTTCGTGGTGGATAGTTGGAAAACTCGGAATGGTATGTTGTAGACTTAACAGTCTGTGTTTTCTCTATGTCATAATCGTGTTTAAGGAGTTATTTATTTATAAAAAATGATACATTCGTTTATTAGCTTTTCTTCTTCTTCCTTTTTCACGTCTAGTACTTTTGTGCTATTTATACACCTGGATGATTTCTAAATAATATTCCTGATCAAAATGGTATGCAAATATCTTTTGGGAGGCGTGATTTGAAAGAAACGTCCTTTACCTACATGGTAGATCATCCAAAAATCTACCAATGCTGACATCACCCAGGGCATACATTTAAAAAAAAAATAAGAATATCAAATAAAAAAATGTCCACAGTATGTTAGACATATATTTACACAAGCACAAATCAGATGTAGGTACATAATAACATATGTACGTAAATATAAATGAGTGTATGTTTGAGGATTATGTTTAAATATTTTAATATATATATAAAATAGATTTGAGGAAACAATGACTACTTTCAAGCTATGAAAAGACAGTTTTAAAATATATTTTTTAAAATAATAATTTTAATCCTAGTCGTCATCAAATAATAATGAATTTACTTTGGTAATATGAGGAATAACATAGATTTTGTTTATCATTATTTCTTTATTGGATTTAGAAACAATAGTAAATAAAAGGTTTTAATAAGGATTTGATTTAATATGAATTTCATTATTGATAAAGGTTATGATTAAAATTATTATTATTTTAAACGAGGTTTTCATGGTGATTTCCCCCCTTTTTCTATTCACAACCACCCTAAACCCAGCTATTTAAATTCTAAATTCATACCATTTTTCATGTGAAAAATGTATTCAATTTATTATCAACAATAATAATACCCCAAACAGCACGAATTCAACCCTAATTATAACGTTATTTACAACTCGAATTATCTATCGAAATGAACAGAACATCAACTGTATACAAGCATTATCCACCCACCACTCTTCACCGGCAACTCTTAAATATAACACCGACTTAGAAAGGAAGGTTACCTTATTATTGCTGTAACCCTACAAGTCTGTAGCTTTGCAAACTTCCTTCGGCGAATGAGAATGTCGTTTGTTTCGTCGGCAATGATTTATTTTCTCCGTTGTCCATCAAAGTCTCGAGACCGCATGCATGACAAAGGGATTCCACATCCGATTCCTATAAAAAGTAATACCAAAGCCAAATCAGAGGATGAGAATCCATGTTGCTCCTACTTTTACTTCAAAGTATTTGTATCGAACGTATTTTTGGACATGAGTGGTAAGATATATCCCTTCCAGATACATGAAAAGACTTCAGAAAAACTGAAAATATCCGTATCAAAACATACTCATATTTAACAACCATACCCGAGCTCAAGTAACAGCCTGAAATCGTTTGTATGTAGAAATGATACCTTCATCATCAATAGTTTGGACAATTGTTCCAAAGGATATGGATGAACCTTGTAGCAACAAGTATTTATACATGAAATCGCTAGTGCTCGAACCTGTAAAGTTTTTGAGGAGGAAATGAAAAATATAAAGGAATAAATAAAGGTGTACGACAAATACAAGGGACTCGTCTATGTTACTTGGATATAGCTGTGAATTTTAATTAGATTGGGGTGTGTAACGATTATCGACATTAGTATTTTCAAGTTCAATTTATTTGGAGCACATGAAAAGTCTATCTTCGTTGTCAAACCGAATATACATTGAGCATGGGTATTATTTCAAGAAAAATGAAGAGTCGAAGAAACATAGGAATGCAATTAACATTAGTTTGAAGCTTTTGTGAAATTAATATTTATATAGGATATTAAAAGCTTTGAAAAATATTAAGTTTAAACTATTTTCAGATTACTTTAAGCTAACTTAAATGAATAATTAACAACTTACGTCGCTCCGACTTTTTCTTTTTTGAAGTAATTGTATCTAATGTTCTTGACTGATACATATCCCAGACATTAGTAAGGGATATAAGCTCCCCAGATAAATGAAAAAAAATTAGAAAAAGAAAAAAGTTGAATAAACCCATGTTCCAGACGCACACCCGAATTCAAACAACATAAGTTCTAAAATTATGTCCATAAAGTATCGTACCACCACACTGAACACAATGGTTGAAAACTATGGGTCGATAATACAATACTGTAAATTGTCATAACCATTTTTAGGTAAAACAATTAAATATTGTTTTTAAAAAAACGATTATGACTTTAATTTGTAAAAATCGGTGATTTCGGAATTAATTTGAATAAAATAGAAAAGAGTCGCCATAGACCTTTGAGTTAGGTAGGTCGAATACCTAAAACCGTCTTTCAAAACAATTTTAAGGAAAATCATTTTTTAAGACAAAATTCGGTCTGCGTTACCAAAGATTCATTTAAATGGATTCGGGAGTCGGTTACGTGTGGAGAAGGGTAAGCACCCCCACAACGCCCAAAATTGGTACTGTGTCGCTTACACATTGTTGTAAATATTGGAAATTACAAATCGAATATAAAGTTAAAATATGATCTATTTATCGAACATTGAGTAATTTGCTTCGAATTAAATTAATTACAAAAAATTCTTTAACTCGAAAAGAAATATCAAAATTAGTAATCCTCCATCGGTGAAGCTAACTCGACTATTTCTTGTCAATAAAAGAATATTCCCTAATTGATAAATATGCAAATTGAATATAAATAAAATTGACGTTTGCAATTGAATAAAAGGAAATAAATAGTGAATTAAAAGTAACACACATTGCATTATTAAAATAAATTAATTAGTAAAATATACTCTACTTGTTGCAAGTTCCTATGTCGTTAAAATGTCGTATCGGATCGTACCACTTCGACCAAGTGGTACTTTCCACGCCCATTCTACGCATACGTGTTCTTGAAAATATAATCGAATATTTCGTACATAGATAAAAATATAATATAAAAATGTAATTGCAAATACAAAAATATTTACATTAAATGAAATAAAAAAACATTATTTACATAATACAAATAACCAAAAAATAAGTGCAATAATATCATACATAAATGACTAAAATAAAAATAAGAAAATATTATAAACCAAGATAAAATTATCAAAAGGTAAGTATTTGTAACTACAAGGATCAAAATGAAGAAAAACATAAACTTGATGTGCTAAAATAGTAAATACAGGAATTTAAGGGAGTAAATAGCAAACATAGAAACTGAATAGGTTAAAAACAGAAGAAACAGAAATTTAGGGACCAAAATAAAGAAATAGAAACTAATGGGACTAAAATAAATAAACAAGAACTTACAGGGCTAAAATAGCAAAACAGAAAGTTAAAGGACTGAATAGTAATAATAAATAAATCAGGTTTCAAATCACAAATGTTAAATAATACAAGTACTGGAAAGAAAATAACCCAAAAATAATAAAGGACTAAAAAGAAATAAACAGAAACATGAAAGCCGAATCATAAATAATCCAAATGTAAAACGGTGACTAAAATAAAAGGTTTACAACTATCTTTTCCACATTCAAATTTCAAAGAAAGTATACACCATCTAACCTCAGTGACGAAAACATAAGTACAGAAACATAAGTGCTCAAAACGAAATAAAATAAAATTTCATTTAATGATTAAAAAAAATGATTACAAAATATTGGGGACCAAACCTGACATTTACCCCCTATGCTGAAACACGCATGCCCAAACCCTTGAAACGGCGTCGTTTCATTCAGTGGTTATATACCACTTTTAGGGTTTAGGAACCCTATTATCTCACTCTCATCTCTCAGCCAAAAATAGGGAAAGGAGAGAGTTCCAACTCTCTCCCCAAACCCCTTTAACACCCGCCGATCCACGACGTTCCCAACGGCCGAGCACGACGGCCAACGCTTAAAACAACCACCCACAGAGCCCCACTTATCCCTCCTCTTTCCTTTTCCTAAATCCAACCTAAGAACCGAGCCCTCGATCACTCAAAGCTTTAAACAAAACCCTTACCTTCAAAACAAATGGATCCCCGTTCCGATGAAGCAACGGTAGTGGTCGAAAAAGGGTAAGATTCTCACTTTTATCTCTATTTTTTTTTGAAATTTCTTCTCTTTATTTTTTTCCTCCCCTTTTGGTTCGATTGCTTTCTCCTTTTTTATAGTTTTTCTCCCGTTTTTTTTCAACCCGAATCTCCTCTGTTTTTATCTCTGTTCTCTGCTCTTAACACCCTTGAATCCCCCTCTTGTCTGGTTGCATGCTTGATTTATTAGGGGTTTTGAATGAAATCATGAAGCTTACGGGGTATGGGGATTGTTTCTCTGATTTGGTACGATTGAATCCCGAAAAAATCAGGATTTAGAATGATATTTTAATGGGTTCACTGTTGATGACATTTTCGGATTGATTTGGGTATTTGGATTGATTTGTTTGATGTGGTTTACTGTAGATGACTGTGGGGGCGAGACGGGCCGGAACAGTGACGGTGGCGTGGCTGTTCATCTGCTGTTGGCGGCGGTTGAGCTTCGGTTTAGGGTTTAAAACCCTAATTTGAACAGGTTCTCTTGTTGGGCTTGGGTCGGGTTACTTGAGCCTAGTGTTGGGCTTGGCTTCTGGGCTGCTGAGTTATGTGTCTGGGTCAGCAGCTGGATTAGATGGGTTTGGCCTGTAAGGCTTGTAATTTGGGGTTCCAGTGGGCCTTGTAATGGTTTGGGCCCCGGGATTGGCCTGCAAAATGTTGTAATATGTAATTAATAATAATAATAATAATTAATAAACAACATAATAATAATAATAAACTTAATAATAATAATAAAATTAAAATTAAATAGAAAAGACCCGAACAAAAACGGGTGTCTACAGCTGCCCCTCTTTGCACATTCTTGTGTTAACAAGAATAGGGCAAAGACGAAAAGACATCACGTTTTTGTCTGGTTTTCTCCCTTTTAAACTTAGAAATTGGATAATATTGGTTGTTGGGGACGACACTGCTCATACGTGATGAAGAGTTCGGGTCATCTAAGGGTGACACGGCTCATACGTGATGAAGAGATCTGGTCAGGGTATGACACGACTCATACGTGATGAAGAGTTCTGGTCATCTTTAGGAAGGGTGATAACTTCGTTCCTACGTGATGAGGACGGCTGGTTATCTAGGGGTGACACGGCTCATACGTGATGAAGAGATCTGGTCGGGAGATGACACGGCTCATACGTGATGAGGACGGCTGTCCATCTTTAGGAGTGGTGATAACTCGGTTCCTACGTGATGAGGACGACTGGTTATCTATGGTTGACACGGCTCCTACGTGATGAGGAGGTCTGGTCTGGGATGACACGGTTCCTACGTGATGAGGACGGCTGGCCATCTTTAGGGATTATGGTTTCAAGAGAAACCGATTCAAAGATTTGTTTCAAAAGAAACAGACTCAAAGACAAGCTCAAAGATTTTTCTCAAAAGAAATTGTCTCAAGGGATAAAACCTTGTTTCCAGAGAAACAAGCTCAAAGATGATCTTGTTTTAAGAGAAAAAGTCTCAAGAGTCAAAATTCGTTTCAAGGGAAATGACTCAAAGATGGTTTATTTCAAGAGAAACAAACTCAAAGATTTTGTATTTCTAGAGAAACTGCCTCAAGGGAGACAAAATTTGTTTTAATAGAAACGATCTCAAAGGTGGGTATTTTCAAAAGAAATTGTCTTGAGAGACAAAAGTTTGTTTCCAAAGAAACATGCTCAAAGATGGATTACGTCTTAAGTGAGACGAAATTTGTTTCAAATGAAACAATCCCAAAGGTTATTTTTTCATTAGAAACTATCTCAAGAGAGACAAAATTTGTTTTTAAAGAAATATACTCAAAGATGATTTTCAAAAGAAATTGTCTCAAGAGAGACAAAATTTTGTTTCCAAAGAAACAGACTCAAAGATTTTTTTTCAAAAGAAACAACTCAAAGATTTTTTCACGAAATTGTCTCAAGAGAGACAAACTTTGTTTCAAAATAAATAGACTCAAAGATTTTTTTACGAAATTGTCTCAAGAGAGATAAAACTTTGTTTTAACAGAAATAGACTCAAAGATATTTGTTTCAAAAGAAACAACTCAAAGATTTTTATTCAAAAGGAACAGACTCAAAGATTTATCTCAAGAGAAACTGTCTCAAGAGAGACAAAATTCGTTTTAAGAGAAAAAGATTCAAAGATTGTCGATATTGTTTCTAGGGAAACAATCTCAAAGGTGTTTATTTTTAAAGGGGAAACTGTCTCACGCGAGACGAATCGATTTTGAAAAACTCAAGTGATATTAATTTTGTTTCAAGTACAACAAATTTAAATTTGTATCTCAGAGAAAAAAATGTCTCAAGCGAAACGAAATTTGTTTCGAAATAAACAACAATCTCAAGTGAGATTAATTTTGTTTCATGTGAAGCAAATTTGAAATTTGTATCTCAAAGGAAAAATATCTCAAGCGAGACGAAGTTTGTTTTAAAAGAAACAACAATCTCAAGTGATATTAACTTTGCTTAATGTGAAACAAATTCGAA